AATACTACTGATGTCTAGTGCCACTTTATACATCATTAATAGTCGTATCAATTAAGTAGATTATCTATAAGCGAGACGAAAAAGGAAATGCTCTCATACTTCAATTTAAGAGCAACTTTATGTACTTTACTTTATAGGCTTGATTATATCGTGCATGCTACAAGTTGTTTTTATCATTAAGTATACATTAGTAAAATAAACTCACGTGATGTCATACTTGCCATTTGTACGAAGTCAAAGCAGCAATTTAAATTAGTAGTAAGACTTGAACTTGTACTCTTGATCGGAGTGTTAAAGGGGCAAGAGCAAGTAGGAAGTTACCCAGCATTCAAACAATCTCTTTTCCTTCGAGATCCCAGTCCTGAACGAATTTTACAGGGAATTGTTAAATCTTCACTACTTGGTAGAAATTATTGGGTTGATTTCAGCCATCTCCCAGTTCCACAACTAAATTATTCTATCAATGCCAACGGTCACATGCAACTGGCCTGTTGATCAGAACCAGCCAAGGTCATAACCTTCATTTAAGCGGTACTATTCCAGAAACAGACCACAATTTAAGTGAATATGTTGCATACAATACCCCTACGTCCTGATTTCAATCCTCTCTTGTTCATACATAAACACACGTCGCACTGACACGCGATATCACCTGTTGCTGTTCCGATCAGTATGTTTAACAGTTTTGGTGGGGAGAGTGGAGAGCAAGATTATGCTCCAATCCCACCTGAACAGGTGACGCTCCCCCTCCCTGTCTAATCACCCTCGCCTTGGTATTCGCCAGCACCGACATCATCATCGTCATCATTGTTGCTGCATCTGTTGATGTTACCTCCATCACCCCACTTCCATTTGGCATTTTCTTCAAGCGCCTGTTCGAGAAGAGAGGGAGGGAGGCTGGTGTCAAGCCTTGCGTGTTCTTTCACAATTAATGTCTTCCCAAGTTGCAAATTTCTTGGAGTGTACTACAGGGTGCACTGATTAGAATGCCCTCTGTCATTCCGTTAATGTTATGTTTCTTGTACAATAACAGTCTCTACTTTCGTGACATTGATTTAATCCCTTCGGGTATCATCTCCGACCCATTCAGTCACAGGAAAATAGCTTCTGTTTTCAATTTCACTTATGGGCTCATAAAAAGTGCTAGGAAATCAAGACACCACGATTTTAACTGTCACCTTAAAGGGTTTTCAGAGATATTGTAAAAATTTGCAAAGAATAATGACACAGTGTGTTTGCAAAACCTTTCCAACTGAGGAATCACATAAGAAGGAAAAGAATCCCTTAGAAGGTAAAGGTCGTCGTTTAATTTCACGCAAAGCACCGTTTATATTGTTTAGCACATTTTTCCTCGATGCTACTGCCTCGAGATCTCACTCATATCGTCCCCTCTATTACCATCTATTATAATCTATTCTGCCATTGCATGTCACAGGGTTAATCTGTCCTTTGGCTTTGATCGTTTGGGAACATCCATCTCCAATCAGCTACATTTCAACAATAAATTAATAACAAGTTAGCTTACAGTGCTGAGATTAAAGAGAGCCTTTTTCCGGCCACCTTAAGGATCTGTGAATCGGAGTTCTACCTGAGACAATATGGGTGGCCACTAACGTGTGTGTATGTGTTTGTTATAAATTAGAGGTTGGAGTGGAGGCAAAAAGGACGATAGGATGAGGGCGAAGGGTAAAAGTGCAAGGGTGAGGTATATATGACGGGAGAAACACTTTAGAAAACAGTAACAGCCGTCGCAAACAGTCATTAGTTGGGCGCAGAGTGCCAGCCAGCCCGCCAGCCAGGCAGCCAGCCAACCAGCTACCCATCAACACTCGCTTGCACGCATAAGTGTATTGTCAATGGAGGGAAGCACAAATTCCCGCTAGGGGTGCATGAGCTCCTGCTACTGCATCTAGGCAAATGCGGTGCAACAATTGTTCTTACCCGTCACTGCCCCTCGCTCATGTTTCACGTCCGTGTAGGTAAGAGGGAGGGGAGTGTGGGAGCACGAAGAGAGAACAGGTGACGTCTAAAAATTCCCTCCTCTAGTCCTCCCGCCCGCCCCATCTCTTGTTCCAGGGACACAGGTGTGCGGACGTGTGTTCGCGTTTTGTAGATTCTCTTGCTGCTGCTGCTGCTGCTGCTGCTGATGTTGCTCCTGCTGCTGCTACCACTACTGCCATGACTACACTAGCCTAGCTTTTTTTACACACTGCAACAGTAATTAACAGTTGTCCTCTCTACCTCTCTCCCCTCTCTGTAGGTGTACCCTGGCTACACACATTTCTTCCTGTGTGGGAGTGGTAGACAAAAAAAAGACCCGCTTTTGATGCTTGTGATGATGATTATTATTATTACTCCACCATATTCGTGTGCTCAAAAGTGACTCAAGTGAAATGCATTTCGTATTACTCAAATTGCGCTCCAGTATTAAGGAACAACCAAATCTAAATAACTCTTCTAACTGTTCCTGATGAGAAGGCTGTCAATCCTAGTCTTTATGTAATTAGTTTTAGATGACATTTGCAGGTGACGGTAAAGGTGGCGTTAATCTCAATGGGAAGATTATAGTCTTTTTAATCAGGCGGGAGTCTGTATGTACATGCATGCGTGTGTGCGAATATGGAATATCACTACGCAACTGTTCAAGCACCTTATCCTCCTCCTCCTTCTTTAGCATTTTATGGCCATCTCTTTCAATTAAACCTATAAATTATACCTTGAGGTGCAACAGGCAAGTCCAGGTGCTTACCAATGCGCGAGCATGTAAGCTGCGTTTGTGTGTGTGTGTGTGTGATGTCCACAGTCAGGTGGTTGAAACAGTTGCCGAAGCATCTCCCGCTTTCTCTCTCACTCTTTCGCACTCTCGCCCTCGCTTTCTCACGAAGGTGCAAATCTACACGCATACCTACAGGTGTGGGCATGCCAATGGCCCCACTATTCCTTACACATCCTCCACATTCACCCATAAGCTCTACCTACGCACCAGCCAGTCAGGGAAGCAAGTAGCCATTACATCCCTTTGCATCGTATGCACGTCAGCGGCGCACGTTTGGGGGGAAAAGTGACCACTTGGGGTGCGTATTTCACCAATCAAACACACCCACAATGTGGGCCGAGAAAACGCCGCATCCATCGCTTTCAGGGCGGCAAATTTGCCTATCTTTTTGAGTGCCTTGGCACTCGTTTATAGCACTTCTTTTGTGATCTGTGATGGGCTATTTGACATGGCTTGGCAGCCCTGACTGTCAGAGAAGTGCGAAGGCTAATCAAGCTTTCCCACATCCTGTAGACAGGTTGACGTATGATTATCGCAATTTTGTTTATGAACATTGATTTTGAAAAGATTTTAACGTTCTCCTACTTATCAACAGCTCAGTTTATGACCCCAGATATTGCAAGTTCACCAAAACGTTTGTTATTTGAGCGTCAGCTGCAATTTGGTAGAGTACGATCTGACGTTAGCTCTAATTTGGGATTCGGCGTTTATAAATGCGTCTGTTGAGATAATTAGGACTCCTTATAGGAATGCCTTTATTTATTGCTAAACCAATTACTTACTTACTTAGGGATTGAGCTTAGGGACCCTTCCTTAGCATTGACAAGGCACAACTTTAGTTTCCAAAAATGATCGCCGTCAGACGATCAAGAACAAGCAGAATACTGGTTGAGGTTTCCATTTGACTAAATCATCTGCTTTCCTCCGACCAAGACATCGTCAGCCATCTGTTCTGACGGTTCCAACTCAACTCTCTGTATGTGACGCAAATTGGTAGGCTCGGTCGAAGTAGACTGGTAAACTAGACCCCTACCACATGCATGTGACACGCAGGCGACGAACGTGTTAGGTCAAGCAAATGCTCTTTCTACAAAGTCTGTCATAATACACCACAGAAGTTGTCGTACGAACCTGAGGTTTTAATGGTTAAAGGGATGATTGAGAGGTTAAATTTTTATAAATGACCAAAAACAAGTGCACATTATAAAATGAAAATGCTAAACTATGGAATGCGCGAAACCTAAATAGACAAGTATAATTGGAGCAAGTGGTTAAGGGCCGTGAAGCCGCGAATCTATAAGGGACCTGCTTTACCGTCGCCTAGTAGCGACTTGACTAGCCTTTCTAAAAGTGCTAGTAAATGCGAGACTTTTATAAGAGCTAGTAGATCACTAAAGCAAACAGATTGGTCATGTTGGGGCTAATAAACTAGGGATGTGGACTGTTCCTTGCTTAAGAGTTATTACATTCTTGCAGTTTTTGGTCTGCTTACGTTTAATTCGCCGTTCTTCGCAGGTTAGCGGTCTAGTCGCTGCTGATACTCAAACAAAGTGTCAAGATTATTCGTCGCGGAAAAGAAAAAGCAAGTCAAGTCAAGTCTATGTAAGGGCTAAACACGTTTTTAATTAAAGCTGCTGTTCTCTTGTTCAAAACCAAGCTATGGTCTTTGTCCGGTAAACAATCATAGTTCACAATTTTCGGAAACTGGGTCCCTTGGTGTCTTTTTACTTTGCCCATTCGGTTTTGAATCATACATCCTCTAATGATTTCATTGAGCCTCAAATGAGTTAAAAGAATATCCCAAAGGGCGTAGCCAATCACCACTTTCATCTCACCCCACCTATATTTTTGACAAATTTAAAGCTCGAATTATGGCAAAAGCAAATACCGAAATATATATTACATAACGCTGAGGATGCAATTGGCAAAATAACGTCTACGGATAAATTACTCGCAATTCCTAAAATTGTGGCAATTGCATTCGGTAAAGCGATGGTTGTAATTACACTATCTACTGACAATAAAAATTTTATGAATGCAGTGGGCCCATATATGCCAAGGCCAGCAAATCACCTTATTCTCCGCAAGACCCACGCACCCCCTCGATCATCTTTTCGTCCAAATAAGTGGGCGATAAAAATCACAGGCTACATATACTTGATCAGCATGAATTATTTTCAACACCCCCTTCTTAATCCACGTTGCACCACATTACAAACAAAACTCAGGAGAATATTGACGCTGGGTTCCATTGAAGCTGAGAGGAGTCGATTTGTTGGGGTGGCGGTGGTGGTGGAGAACCAGCAGATGGCTGTGTGGAGCATCCTGAACGCGTGTGTTTTGTGAGAAGACCCATCCTCGAGAAGGTCTTGCCGCACTCCTCACAGCGATATCGCTTCACCTCTGAATGGGTCTGCATGTGCGCTCGCAGATTTGATCGATCTGCGAAAGCTCTTTGACACACCCTGCAGGCAAATGGTTTTTCACCTGTCAAAAGAAAACCACGATCACCTTGTTATGCAACGCTTACTTAATTAAAAATGCACTGATTGTAAAACACTGACACACCTGTATGCGTCCGCAGATGACCGTTAAGGAGCCACATACGAGAAAACGCCTTTCCGCAAATGTTGCATTTGCAGGGTAAAGTATGAGTCCGAATATGCATCTTCAAGGCTGACATAGAGTAGTAGACCTTCGCACAAACGTGACAGGTGTATTGCCGTGAAGTTGCTGATGCAGACGGTGATGGTGACGAAGTTTGCTCATCAGGATCAATACTTCCAGGGGAAGGCGGTGTTAGTCTCCCACTGTCCACTCTGGAGCATTGATTTTGATGCCGTTGAAGACCCGCCTTTGTAACGTAGCTTCGTCCGCACAAGGTACATTCGAAGCAAGTCTTGGCTAGACGTGCATTCTCGTCTGGAAGTTGACCCAATAGATGAGGTATGGAAAAATTACTGTATTTGGGGGACTTTTCTTTTGAAAGATCTATAGGCGGCTGCTGAGTTAATTGATTATCATGAACCGAGGGCAGGAATGCAAAGGCAAGCCATGGTGGCGGTGGTGTCTGGTTGATGTTTTCACAAGAGAGGTTCCGGAATGATGTCAGCGAATCACCATCAGGCTCCTTGTCTGTTTAAATAAGAAGGACCAGAAAATCAGGTGCCACGAAACCCATAAATACGCGATGCGAGACCGTGTAATGATGTGGCGTGGGAAGTGAATTTTCTAATCCCACGAAAGTATGAAAAATGTCTTACCTAGTCGTTTCTCTCTTCCCCATTTTTCGCCCTCATTCGTCAAAATTAGAACTAGAATCTCTGATCAGATAGGCGGAATCAGTTTTATTTTCTTTTCGTGGTTGTAGGATGGGTAGGAGAAAGATAGGAATGATTTATCGATTCTGTTGTCAACTTACCGCAGGTGCGAATCGAACTTGCATGGCAGGTGGTTCTAAGTTAGATGCTAATGTGCCTACCCTCGTCGCAATCTCCTTTTTTCTTCAGTCTAGACAAGTTTTGAGCTGTCAATTCGACTCACAAATCTCAAGACTATCAGCAGATGGCCAAACATGAAATCCCTTTCCCATATGCTGCTCAACTTCATACCGCAAAAATGTGCACTTGCAACTCACCAGTCAATCTAGGTAGAGCCGTGAGTTCGGACGACTCAGGAGTAACGCGTTTAGAGAGAATTGTTAAGGCGTGATGCAGTAGTGAAGAAGCATTGAGTTGTTTTTGAAGTACCATTTCATCCATTTGGGGAGTTGGATCGACTAGCGAGAATGCGTTGTTCCACATCATTTGAAAGACATCAGGTTGTTCGCTCTTCACCGTAGATAAAACACCGTTACAATCAAGAGCCGACCACATTTTGATGTGACCAAAGGAGCCATGTCAGCGCTATTTATAACGCATACGCTAATTCGCGCGGCAACTTAGACCACTCGCGTTTAAGCTGCAATCTGATTGGTGAAGAGGCAACAGGAGTTTGCGCGCGTATGAGTTCACGCCACATTATTGTCCAATCAGCAAGGGAATGGTAAATGTAAATAGTCAAGAAGACGTCGTACTTTTATCCATTTTTGAGAGTTCCTTTAAGCGTTCGGGCCTAAGGTTGATACCGTCTAGTGACCTTTCTTCGTTAAGGACAGTTGGTCCTAATGTTTAACTTTTGCTTAGGCTAGTAAAAGTTACTCACTTTCTATGGATGGTTACGTCCGTTTACGACCGCAGAACATTCGCGTGGACAAAATTCTAATACGCGTTGTAACACGCTTAGTATGCGGTTGGCTGCACCAAATAAGTTGATTCATCGCTTTGGGACAGGGGGCTTTACTTTTGCTTTGTATCATTCACTTGTCCACATCTTTTGTTGATTTAGTAGCGTCTGGCTCAAGAAACGATTGCATTTTATTGATACTGCTTCAGCGTTGAATAAAATTCCATCGTAAAGTGTTTTAAGCCCAATAATATTTATACCAAACCAATACTAAGTGCGCTTTTAAAATTGGTTGGCATTTTATTAGCCTCAAACACAGCATGTCGACTTTTCCACCCAAATAAATGTTGAAAAAGGGTTTTGCTGCCACATGTTTTACAAAGTGCAATATTGAAAAGCGATTAATCAATAATCCTCACAGACCTTCGATTGACTTTCTCTGATCAGGCTTTTCAATGTTCTGCAGTAACACTAATGACTACTAATTTGCGGCTACTAAGCCATGAAGAAGGTATATATAGCTCAATTAAATCTACTTACCAGTAAAGCACGTGGTTTATGCATTTCTGATCCAAAAGCAAATGCGAAAGACCTTAATAAATGCGATAGTGATACTTTTTATCCACCTGTTCCCGGTGTCTAATTGAAATCACACAGTCATCAATGTATCCTACTTCCATGTTGAATTTTTGTAGCCATTACAAAATGACGGAAATTCGCCAGAACTTCACTCGCAGGTAATAGATGTGTTCAGCTGAATAAACGGAGGAAGGGGTGGTTCAGTTCAATTTTGTGGGATCTGCACACTTCTAGTCCTTTCATATCTACTAGCATATTCCTTCTGAGTTCTATCTAAAAAAATGGACTAAGTGCCAATGAAAGGCGATATTTTGAATTAGAAGATTGGACTGATATTTTTTAAAGATGACTGCATTCTCATTGTTTACTTTAAAACCAGTTATAATTGTCGATAAACTATCAAAATTTGCAGAAAACTGCATTATTTAGGGAGCAGTCCATTATGGAATCTAACCTCCTTCAACCCCCTCCACATGGAGTCTGTGACAGTTGTAACAACGAGGTCAAAGGTGCCAAAGACACCACAAAATTTAACACTTAGGCGCACAGATAGGGGATGAGGGGAGTGGAAATGGGCGGCCCACTTTTAATGCCCTACGTCATTCACAGAGAGGGAGAGAGGGTGAAACAGCTGACGCCGCTAGCGTTTGTGTGTGCGAGGATTTGCGTGTGGTGCGGTACGTTAGTTAATGCAACTACTTTCGATCATTCCCCCTCCTATACGCCTCCATGCGAGCGACAACACAAATGGGCGATTAGTGTTGGCAGACAAGAGGGGAGAAGGTTTATGAGAGAAACTTCAAGGTGAACTTGGGGTACCTTCCTCTCGTTGCACAAATGAAATGTAAACCTAGCGACCCCGCATCTATTAGCGATAGTCGAAGTAGACCCTTTCGACCAATTCGTTCACTTGATGCATTCGTGCGTGCTGGATCTAAGTGAAAAAGATGGAACATAGTGCGGTACTTGAAACTCTATCTATTTATGATGCTCCAAAGACTTGAGTAATCCGTTGTGGCCTCAGTTCTCACTAGCAATGATCCTGTCAAAATGTACCTAATTTAGTTCCCAAGTATTCCAATCCAAAAAATCATTTCACTTGCGGAACAACTTTACTCGCTTCTCCCACATCGACACAGTTAGTTGTAGTAAAAGTTGCATTAAGAATGTCATTATGAATCTCAAACGCCGTCGAAGACTAAACATATTTATCCTTCCTTTTAATAGTTACTTGTGATTAGTCGGACCTGAAGGCGGCACCTGTTTTTGACACTCCACTAACACGGATTAACCGTCCACATATGAGACTGGTAGCAGACATACTAATCATGTAGGTTACTTAACTTTTTTATAAGTACCAAGAAATAAAACCATAATTTAAGAGTTGAAGCCTTTTCCTTAAAAAAAACAGGGTGATTTATTTATGCTATATTTTTTTGCAACGTCATCACTTAAGTAAATTAATGCGGATAATGGATTTTATGCAAAGATCCAGTCTTGTAAATTATTCCCTAAAATCAAGCACAAACAATGGGCAAAAACCTTAATTTGTTATTTGCTTGTGCTTCTGCTGGAAGCATTGTCTCTGGGATCCGCCAAAAGCCTCTTCAACCCTTCCATACACCGATTATACATTCTGCCTCCATTTATCTCTGGTTCACAATTAACATGAAATGTGGAGTTGTTTGATGGCGCGCCATGCTATATGAATGAAAATCTTGACAAAAACTTAAGGTGAGCAAATTTTCCGACCAGAGTTGATTAAAATAATGTAACTACTAAAACAGAACGTCAATGTAAAATTGAATGCAAAAACCAACCCTAAAACAAACCTATTCATTTTAATTCATTCCAAGGCATGAGTCTGGGCGAATAGTTACCTTGACCTGGGTAAGGATTCACGTAGTGTATGCGACGCTGCTAGACAGTGTGTTAGCTTCCTTAATTCTGCATACGCATTCCCATTTCTAAGGGGTTCGAGTAATTTTGAAGTTGGTTCTTTTATTTAAACTACCTCGTTGTTCGTTTGTACTCTGTGGTAATAAACTCCACATTTATGTTGTCAGGACCCTCATAAGCAATGCCATATCGGAATTGCTTTAAGTTGGCGGTGTTGCGAAAGACTGCCGGCCAAAGAGCAATTTTTTAAATGATAACCTAAGATTTTAGGCAGAAATCTCTGCCTATTGAGATTAGGAGAAAGTTAGTGCCCTTAAAACGAAATTACTCGGAAGGATAGGTCTCTGGCTTGCCACCTTGTTATGCAATTAACTGTAGCCATCTGCCGCCTTACAATAACCCTTTTCACCACATGAATGTGAGCAAGGGAGATGATAGCAAATTTGGATCCATTCCAGATCGGCTATGGTAGATTTTTCACAATGCACACGGGTGTAAACATGACTGAAATATATTCGTCACAATAGAATTATGATTGACATGTGCACACCATCACCTAACGAACCAAGTTGCTGTCAATCATAGTGCCATCATCTCACTTATTTCTCTGCTTTTGGGAGCGAGGTGGAAATTGGCATTCCGGTAAGCGAGGTGTCAAGACCATTCATTTGTACTGGACAGGTTCCTTTAAGACCGTGTTAAGAAGGCAAGCGGTGACATTTACAACCATACGAGTTCCGACTCACAGGGAAAGGGAAGTCGGCAAGTCGAAAGTTAAGTGAAAAAGGGAGAGAAACACAAAGCTAGAGAGCTATTTTGGTTTATGGATACCAAAAAAGACAAAATTTTACCCACACATTCACCTACTAATCTAAAATCATGTCCCTTCGAAGTGTTGTTGTTCCTCGCGCTTGCGTATGGCTATAATTCAAATGGGGATGCGTAAGGCATGACTTCTTCCTCTTCTTCTTTATAATTTACGAGCGCATTTACTCCAAAGGCTGAGATTTGAGGGGACTTGTAAGTGACTTGTGAAGCGGACCCAAGACATTTGGCTGTCCAAAAAAGATTAGCCAAGTTTGACAATCAGCCAAAACCCCTAAATTATTAGTGGTACTTAACCTCATAAAGCATTTTTGGCATTTCGATTTTGTTTGATATAAAACTAACCTACTTAAATATCGTTGAAGGTACTCCTCATAAATCTAGCCAGGTAAAGAGAAAGAAGCAAGTTTACTTCACATTCGTACCACCCTGATTTGTCTATACGGGATTGGCTTGTGCGCGTCTTAGCCTGCTGCAGTATTCATTGTTACAAAGGGATCTACGGAAAGTCTTAAATGCAATTCTTTGAGATTTTCAACTCCATTTTGCCAATTTGTTTACAAAAGTTTTGAGACATCATGCTTAAGTTTTTGGAATGTGGCATTTGTTTTTCAAATCTTCAGAAAACTAAGAGTAAAGCCCTCAGGATTAACTCAAACTTCATCAATGGAAGCTCATTCCTTACAACTTTCGCCTATGTTCATTTGCAAGCTGAGTTCTGTATGGTTCGTGTACTGTATTAGGGTGAGGGTGGCTCTTTCAGAAAAATCAGCTTACAGGAAGAGATTATTTAAAACTAGTAGTAAATAGCGTTACTAGAGAGTTGAGGAGCCAGAGCATTTCATGCATTGTCTTTTTGAAAAAAGGTGACTGATGAAGCTGTCAATATTTTGGTCCCTAATCAAGCATCTCTTTTTGATGTCAATGCTGCATGCATAGCAGTTCATAACTTGCAAACCAAGAAGGATTATTGTAGCAAATTTTGATCGCTATGGTATCAGTATTAGGCCACGTTTATACCGGCTTCCTTACTATCCGGTGGGATTTCTTGCGCATACAGTAATGAATGTCTTCAGAATAAAATGATTTACCAGTATTACATTTTTAGTAGAATAAGAGAGGTTTTGCAACCCAACGTCTATAAGTAGGTCAAAAAAGGGTAATCAAGCCGTCAGTACCTAGTATAAGTTCCCCACCCTGATATTCACTTTGAAAGCCTGCGTCCATGTACGAGACTGGATGCTAGCATGTATGTGGGGTCCAATGCTAGTTTTTGTGTACTGTGAAACCACTTCATCGTATTCAGGTTCCCATCACATCCCGTCGAGTCCCATATCCCTCGCCAAAA